CTCTAAAGTTTTCTATTCTTTTTTGGATGAAGACTCTAATTTTTTGGTCATTTTCTATTTTATCAGTTAATCTAATTTTAGTTCTGAGGGCAATTATGGCGTCTTTGATATTTGAAAGAAATGCAGGATACACTTTGTTGTCGTATGCTGTTTGTATATTTATGGTAGGGATCTTTAAGAAATTTAAGTTGTTAACGATATATTTAAATTTGTTATGATCTATGATATTGAAATTTAAATGTAAATTAAATTGTTTATAACATGAATGATAGAATTTGTTGAGTTTGTTTAAAAATGTGTATGAGTGATTATGGTTGTATATAAAATCGGTAGAACGTTGATTGGTAGTCGTTTGTTTAGGGAGTGTAGATTTTGCTGCTTTAATAATGACACTACTAAATTTGGACCAAACTCGGTTTAAGGTAGTAGTATTTTTTTGAAGAGAATTCTCGATGAATGAACATAAATCTTTCTCTTGATCGAGAAGATTATTTAACTTTATAGAGAACTTTTTCCATGTTTCTTTTGTAGTTTGCTCATATAAGAATTTCGTTTTGGATAGTTTGCCTTTTTTAAGTGATGCGTTGGTTTTTTGTGCGAAAAGATTGTTTTTATAAAAAAAAGAAATTAATGGAGTGTGATCGGAACTATAATTATATGACATATTGTTGAGGGATGAGGAAAGGATGAGGTCGTGTGTAAGAGATGAGGAGGAGAAAATGTAATCGAGGGAAGAAGAAGAATTGTGAGAGAAGAATGTCGTAGGGTAGGTATGGTGAAAAAGACTCAGATTATTTATCATTCCTAAATTTTCTATTTGTGCTATGTAATTTTTATATCCTTTTTTTCGGGATGACGAATAATTTTTTTTTATGTCAATGTTAAAGTCACCCATAAGAACATGGTGATATCCCTTTGATTTAGCTTCCAGTATTATTTCTAAAAGTTTATTTTGAATCTTGATTCTATGTAAATGATCTTTAGAGGTTGTAGTATCGGCTGGAAAGTAGATTTGGATGACTCTTAGTTTTTGTTTATTTTTCATTTGGAGATCAATAAAAATGATTCTGTCGTAGAATCCTTGGTAGTTGAAGATATGTTTTTCTATAAAAGAACTAACCAATAAACCAACCCCTTGACAATTTTGGGAGCGATTTTCATTTAACAATATGTATTTATATGGAAGGTTAAGAGATTGAAATTTTTTTGTTATTGAATAAGAGTGTTGAAGTGTAAGATGTGTTTCGGACAGACCTAATATATCTAAATTGTTTTCAACAAAAAATTGTTCTATTTGGTTGCGTTTTTCGTTAGCAATGCAGTTTCGTACGTTATGTGTGGCTATTTTAAAATTATTATCTTGATCACATAGCCTGTGAAAAAGAGACATATCTGTTTGTTGTGTGGTATTCATTTAGAGCTGGATGAATTCGATTGAAAGAATTGCATCATAGCGGTTTTGATTTGGGTTAAATCATCTTTTGCACTGTTGAAATTTTCTTGAAGTAAGGTGATTTTTTGTTCTTGTAGTTCAATAATATTGTCACATGATAAAAATGGATTTTCATTTGAGTTGGGATGTTTGGGTAGTATAGGTTGTGAATTTTGGTTAGAATCGGATTTATCTAAATCCATGAATTGAATGGGTTGTTTGGGTTTGATTTGTTGATCCGGTGGGGAAATATGACAAAGTTGTTCTATGTTTTTGACTCGTTTGAAGAGGTTCAATTGACCTTGTTGTAATTCTGTACTAATATTTTTTGTAGCAATGAGCTCATCAGACAAAGTTTTGAATTTTTGTTCCAGCTTTGTAAGGTTTTCCATAATTTGGTTTAGGTTGGTTTGGTCTGGTAACGTTTGCTTAGTTGGAGGAGGTCGGTTTTGTACAGGGACATTTTTGGCTGCGGTTTGGCTAGTATTATTACGAATAGTATTTACATACGAAGGTTTGAAAGAACGATTTCCAGTTGAATCTGAGCTTGAATTAGGAGGCCTGAACGGATTGGGTTTAGGTCGGTATTGAGCAGGTTTGAAGCGGTCATATAATGGTTTAAAAGGATTTTGGTTCGAGCGTGCGTTGCAGTTATTAGTTTCATGATCAGGTGATCCACACCGAGTGCAATGATAAACCCCTGGTGTAACCCAATATAATATGCGGTTTTTGAACTTTTGTTGGGAGTTGAAGGCGGTATCATAGTCATCTTCATTGTCAAAATTGATGTAAGCGTATGGTCGTAATCGATATTGACGGTCTCTAGGAATAAAACAAGATTTTGCGTTTATGTGTATTAAAAAATCTGCTAGGTCTAAATGAGAGGTATTGTAAGGAAGCCCTGTCAGTTTCAATTCAAATTGTTGTCTTAAAGCAGTTTGTAGTTCGTTAATGTCAGTTGGTTCGACTCTGACTAGAAACTCTAATAATGAGGTTGACCATTTGTTATCATAGAAATCTTTGATTGCCTCTGCGGATTCGTAAACGATAAATGCTATTTGCCATGGCCCCCTTGTGATCATGGAAAATCTGCTGATCCTTCCAAATTTGTCGAAACAATTTCTGACAATATCCGATTTTACGAAAAGTGGTATGTCGTTAACTTTTATGCAACGTCCTTTTTCATCGTCTTTTCGTTGTTGTTTGGCGTTTGAGTCAATTACTAAAAAGGTTGGGTTGTGTTGTGATTCTTTGACTTTTTCGGTTGCATGCGTTAGGGAGTCATAGGATTGAAAGTAAATATAAAATTTTCTTTGTTTCGTATTGTAGTACGACCCCTTGTAATCATCAAAATGGCTGAATAATTTGTTGATGGTGTAACGTTTCTCAGCAATAGAAGAACCATTCACGTCTTTTGAATCGGTAGACGCGTAAAAGCGTGTTGGTGACATAATAATTGTAAAATTGTTCGCGTCTGCTTTTTCATTATTATTTTCTTCGGGTTCGAAAGTTTGTTCGTAGATATCTTCGTCTGACCAATATGTGTTGTGCTTTCCTTTGTCATTATTTGAAAGGGTGTTATTATTTTGTTGCGAGAGGGTAGATGATTGTTGATTAGCATGCATTGAGGCGTTGGTTGAATTATTCAGTGGTTCGACGAGAGTTGTTGAATCAATTTCCATGGTAGATGTGTTTGAAGTTTCTTGTTGTTGTGTGAGAGATGAGGTTTGGTTTTCAGAAGAACTTATTTTAACGTTAGAAGATGGTGTAAGTATAATAGAGTCTATGATATTTTCGATTGTCAAAGGAGGAACTTCGTTAGAGATTTTTGTTCTTTTATTTGTAACTGAAGCGTCTGAGTCGTTTGATTTATTTTTCTGTAAAGTGGAGACTGTTTGTTCTGTATTTTTTTTGTCGTTTGTTATTAAGTTTGTTGGATAAGGTTGAATCGTTTGTAAATTTTTTGAGATTTTTGTATTTTGTTTAGTAATGGGCATGTTGAAAGAGAGAGTTTTTTTTTTTTGTGAACTTCCGATCACTGGATGCGTAGTTATTCAGAAAATCATAAAGCCAATTATTTTGAATATAACTGTGAAAGAATCTTAGAGAGACCACATTGCCAAAGTGGCGTGTGAAATGTTGGTGACCTGGCAACCTACAAAATACTAGTGGCCGGTTCTGGGAACCTAAAGGAGGTGAGAAATTGGTAGGTCGTTATGTAAGAATTCATAGCTATCCAGTAAGTCCCAAAATGTATTATTAGCACTATAAGAGAATTGAAACTTCAACCGCCTACGAAACGTGCTCCAGCTATTGTAGAAACTTCAAACCAATTCGACCAGATGCAGGATACCGAGTGCTTCAAAACAAGCCAAGGTGGGAAGTATATGGATCACAGGAAGCCGGAATAGCTTTGACAGTTGGGAAAATTTACTGTGCAACATCATGGGTTAGAAATTGACAAATCGTAGATTGATTTTGCGAAACGTAATACTGCGGAACAATCACTCCCTGGTCCTTTGGATCGTAGATAACCTACCCTATTTGCTTAACTGCCTGGGATAGCTTTTCTTTTTTGGAATGAATGTGAGAAAAAGGGTAAAAAATAATAGCATATAGAGATAAATCATGATTGGTTATGTGATGTTAAAAAATATTTTATTTGCGAAATAACTGCTGATGGTACTGGACTACCCAATCATTCTTAATATAGTTTTTCCTGGATGGTGATCGATTCACATGAGTCTTTTATGCTTTCACATTTACTATTGGAATTCCATGTAGATGTGAAGCAATCCCGCATTCGAGACGATAGGTGTATTCTTTGTAATATTCACCAGAACCTTATATATCCATTATACTATTCTTTATACCCTTTTCTTTATGATCTCCATTACAAATAGGACAGGATGCTGAATTAACGAGATTAAAACTATCACCATACTTCTCACTGTACTTCAAAGATAGATAAGGAAATTGCTCTAGCACTAACCCAATTATATGTTTTTGCTTCTCTTCTGGATCATCAGGTAAAATAAAAATCAGAAATCTGAATTTGTTAGATGACATTACCTTAGCTTTAGGCAAATTATCTAGACTGATTCCTTTGGAATCACTTGGAGAATTAGAGATCCGGGCAGAAAATGAAGGAATAGGTGTGGCTGAAATGCTTACCTCAGCAAAAATTTCAGTCATGTGACTTGATACTTCTTTCACATCAGCATTATCGTTATTGTTATCATTATTGTTATCATTATGCTTGGAGAAATTATCTATGATATCTTGAACTTTATCATTAGTCAATTCAGAAATAAAGTTCACAGTATATGTCGTAATATACTTAATATTTTCTACACCTATCTTTTCAAATAAATTATATATTTTTACGGCTTTTTGAGTTTTTCCTTGCAAGTATTTACGTGTGATTTCTGGAAGTTGTAAACTGGTTTCTTCAGATTTCTTTTTATGGAGAATGGAAAGTTCCTCTAACATTTTGTCATAAATAATCCCTTTCGCTTTTTTTTCACCAACTGATACTTTTTTTAAAGAACTTGAATATATTTGTAGTATGAATTATATTGAATTTAATCATAATCAAAATCACGTTCAATGTTTAGCACATATTATAAATATTGCAGTTCAAGAAATTTTACAATATATTGAAACTGAGAATATTGAAGAAGAAAATGTAATTTTAAGCGATGAATATAATATAAATAGTTTATTTTCTAAGGTAAGGATAAATAATATTATTTAATAATACTAATATATATATTATAATAAAATAAAAATATAATTTTCAATTTAGTTAAGAAAGCTTATTGTAAAAATTCGGGCTTCTCCACAACAACGAGATCGATTTTCACGTCAATATAATTTAAATCAAAAAAAAAATTTAAACCTTATTTTAGATGTAAAAACAAGGTGGAATTCAACATATTTGATGTTAGAACGTGCATTTTTACTTAAAGAAGTAAGTAATATTTAAATGAATATTAAAAAAAAATATTATTTATTTATACTTTATATAGCCTTTAGATGAAATAATTATACTTGAATGTGATCTGAAAGAATTTACTATTTCATCTGAAGAATAGGAATTAATTAAACAATTATGTTGTGTATTAGAAGTAAGTTTAACTAATTAATTATTTATTTATTTATTTAAAAATAAAAATATTATTAAATGCTATTTTATAATTTTTTAGATTTTTAATAAAGCTATTAAACATATGTCACAATCACAATATATTATACTTTCATTATCTATTCCTATTTATAATATGTTATTTGATCATCTTAAAAAACTTTTAGATGTTAAAAGTAATAATTATTATCATTATTCAGAAATACGTACTGCTGTAAAAAAAGGATTTGAAAACTAAAAAAATCATATGTTTATCCAGTAGTTAGTTATTTTAATTTTCTTAAATATTATAATTATTTTTAATTTTTATATTTTAATTATTATCTAGTTTTAGATCCTAGAATAAAATTAAAATACTATCAAACACAAGAATGGGAACAAGAATATATAAATGCAGCATTAGAAACAGTTACAAATTTATATTTTAAATATTATAAATATAATTCTACAACAAACCTACAAGAAGACGATGATCCAAATGATTTTTTTGCTAATATTTTTGGAAAAAATAATGATATTAAAAATGATGAATTAGAAGATTATCTTCAAAAGCCTATAATTCCATTTAAAATGGATCCATTACAATGGTGGAAGGTAAATTAAATTTTTATTAATTTATATTTTTATTAAAAATATTTATTTTCTTATAATATATATATTATAGACAAATAAAGAAATTTATCCACAACTTTCATCTATGGCACAAGATTTTTTAGCTATACCGGGTAAATAATAAATTTAATTTTTTTTGATTTTTTATATATAATTAATTATTTTCCTAATA